CTCCAAAGCACTTGAATGCAGAACAAGAAGCCATGGGTGGCAACTAATCAAGGGTCCAACCTAGAACTAAGCAGATGGCTTGCCTTCAGAAGTCGTGGATGCTCTAATACTGGAGGTTTTAAAGGTATTGGAGAGCCATTTGTCTGAAATGGTATAGGGCAGGGGTGTCCAACTTGCATTACATGGCAGTGTAATGTGATGTATTGTGAGTTTTTTCCCCTTTGCTAAAACAGGCATGGGTGTGGCCAGCGTGTGATGCATCCGCCCCTTGGGCCATGAGTTTGACAGCACTGGTGTAGGATCTCCCGCTTGAGCAGGGGTTTGGAGTAGAAGACCTCCAAGGTCTTCCATTATACCTATCCACTGCCCCAGGGATGAAATTCAGCAGATTCTGACAGGTTCTGGAGAAATGGTGGTGGCAAACACCACCTCTGGCTGGCCCCAGAGTGGGGTGAGAATGTGGATTTAGCAATATCCTTCCCCTGCCATGCCCACCAAGCCACACCCACAGAACCAGTAGTAAATAAATTTGAATCTCGCCACTGCACTGCTCCCTCAGTAGTCCACAGAAAAGTCATTAAAAAAATTGCCTTCGTAGTATATTGGGGGATGACTGGTTCTAAATTGGAAGTACCTCTTGCTGAAATTCTTGAAATTTTCTTTTTTTCATCACAATAAATCTTATTAAAGAAGAATCTGTAGGAATCTTGCTTTTAAGAATTACTTTTCCAATGGAAGAAAATACCTATTGCTTAAGGTTGAACTGTAAAGTTATGGTGCCTTACAGAATTCACCACACTAATGATATTCCCTAGTTGTCTAATAGTGAAGTAGGTATGAAATGTCTGCTAGCAAGCAACCAGGTTCAGAGAGCACCAAGAAATCCAAATAGTTTCCAAAAACAACCCTGATACTAATTCATCAAATCCATGTTAGGGGCTCACCTTCTATGTGAATAGTTTGGGATAGTCTAGCAGTTTGGGATAGTCTTTTCTTGTCATTCTTCTGAAAATCTGTGCCCAGAGAGTTTATACTTTCTCTGAAAGAATCCCACACCTTCCCTTATCTCTTTTAGACCACGAAAGATCCATGTTGATCTTTTGGCTATATTTTTGCTTGGAGTACCTTGGATGACCCGAAGGCAGACGGGCACAGATTTCACCTGGAATTAGTCACACTCTTTGAGGTGGTGAAGTAGCTGAGTGTTTAAAATGCTGAGTTTGTCAGCTGGAAAGCTGGCAGCCCAGGTTTGAGACCCAAGCATCACACAAGGTAGCATCGGAGGTAGGTTGCTGGTGGTTCAGCCTAACCGGTAGTGGAAGTCAGGCCTGGGTCACAGAACCGGCAGCGACCCAGGCCTGCCACACCCCAAACCGGTTCCCTTGCCACCACTGGGCCGCTGTCATTTTGGATTTCAGTGACTGCGCATGCACAGTTCACTGTAAATTGTTATACGAATGCATGCAGAACAATTTGCATTGAACAGTGCACGTGTGCGCAACACGCATCAGGCCCCCACGCAGGTTGCAAACCAGTAGTAAAACTGGCAGCAACCCACCCCTGAATGAGTTCCCATTCTTGCTCCAGCTCCTGCAAACCTAGCAGTTGGAAAGCATGCAAATGCAAGTAGATAAATAGGTACCGCTTCACCGGGAAGGTAATAGCGTGATGTGATGTCATGCTGGCTACATAACCATGGAAATATCTTCAGACCAAACTGGCTCAATGCAAAAACAAAGCCTTGAAACAGAGATGAGCAGCGCTCCCAGAGTCTGCAATGACCTGCTAAATAAAATCCATAGAGACATCTTTACCTTTCATTGGACAAAGTGGGCTAGCTGAATAGAGAATCATGCCAGGCGCTGAGCATAACATCAAGCTGCACATGCCAGCAACAAACAGAAAAGTCTGCCTTCCAAAGGGAATTTGTTGGCAAATCTCCTGCCAAACTCTTTGCTGTGCTTGAAGGTTTCAGCCTTCTGAACAGCAGATGTCAATAATAACCCACAATGGGGGGTGCACATTAGCCTTAGTTGTGAGGTGGGCTAATCATTTAGTAGCAAACTGCTGTGGGACTGGCAGCTTGCAGACCATTTATATCTCTTTCTTGTTGAGAAATCCTGCTGCACAGCTCCCTCCTTTCCTTAAAATGGGGGTGTTTAAATAGCTATCCCTTCTCAACAACAAATTCAACCTGAGTTTGAGAGAAAGGGGAAAGAGGGGAAAACACTGATCTTTCTTTTAACCCATCATTTCTGTCATCTATTGTAGCAACAATTAACTTCCAGAATTATTTAATCAGTTTTATTGCTGGTTTCTCTTTCACTCTCTTTTGCCAAAGGTGAGTTTATACAGAATTATGCATTCTGATGGCAGTGGTGGGATTCAATTTTTTTTACTACCGGTTCTGTGGGTGTTGCTTGGTGAGCGTGGCTTGGTGGGTGTGGCAGGGGAAGGATAATGTAAAATTCCTACCCCACTCCGGGGAAAGGATACTGTAAAATCCCCATTCCCTCCCCACTTCAGGAGAAGGATACTGTAAAATCTCCATTCCCTCCCCACTTCAGGAGAAGGATACTGTAAAATCTCCATTCCCATCCCACTCCAGGGGAAGGATACTGCAAAATTCCCATTCCTTCCCCACTTCAGGAGAAGGATACTGTAAAATCTCCATTCCCATCCCACTCCAGGGGAAGGATACTGCAAAATCCCCATTCCCTCCCCACTTCAGGGGAAGGATACTGCAAAATCCCCATTTCTTCCCGATCAGCTGGGACTCAGGAGACAGAGAATAGATGGTGGCAGGGCCAATCAGAGGAGATATTTACCGGTTCTCTGAACTACTCAAAATTTCTGTTACTAGTTCTCCAGAACTAGTCAGAACCTGCTGAATACCACCTCTGGTTTGGACCCTCTGCACAACACACAATTAAGATATAAAGGTCATAAGGACACAAAGGTTCTGCATTTTAGAAGTTGTAAATGTACATTGCAAATCTGTTTAAAAGCTCCCTCCTTCCCCATCCAGAGTGAAATGCTGACCTCTCCATGTAGTTAGTAAAGTGGAGCAGATTTATTCCACTCAGTATTCTACTCTAATAGCAAAATACAGACATGATATTTTACGATCACAAACAGCAGATCTATAGTTATTTGCTTTCTCTCCATGGCTTCTGCTGCTTTGTTTTCTATTCAAGACACGTCAAGGCTGACTCTCTTACAGTATCCTGAGCACTGAACTAAAATTGTGGCATATATATCCTGCGGATGGAATGGGGACTGAACCCCAGCCAGGCTGTCATGAGAGATTCAGCAGTTTTTGGCACCACGTCCACATTCACATTTAGAACCTGGGATTCTCACATTTTTCCTTTTTCATCCCACTCTCCGAACTTTGAATTGTTGGGTCACCAAAAGTCTCATAATTTCTTAAGCTTTTAGCACAGCTTTTTGACATTGAGCAAATTGGCTTTGTGTTGATTGGACAGGATGAGTAAATGTACTGTAGGGTTTCACCAAGGTCTTCTGAAAGTCTTTGGAGATGTATGGAGCTGATGGAAGAGGAAAAAAATGCAAAGAGGAAAATTTTCTCTAGAAAAATGTCTTGGAAAGGCTTCCTCATTTGGATTCTACTTAGATCTTGGTGGGTTAGCCTGTGTTTAACTGGGAACAAAACAGGAGTTAGATCTACATTCAGCTTGAACACCTCACTCTAGATCAGGAGTTGGCAATCCACAGCTCTGGAGCCACATGTGGCTCTTTTATCCCTCTTCTACAGCTCCATCCTTTCCTCCCTCTGCTGCGGACAGAAGTAGCTGACACCATTGCTGTTGCCACCTCCATGGCCTGCCCACCGCTCTTGCAGCACCTTGTACAACACAGTGAAATGTAGCATGCTTCGAGCCCATTACAACACGGAGCCACAATGTGACCCTGCCCCACTCGCCTCTGGCAACAGCAGCGGTGTCCGCTGTGGTGCGGGTTGGGCCAGTGGCTTGGGGTGGAAAGAAGGTCAGGTGTCTCCATGAGCGATTCAGGACCACATATTAAGTTCCAGTTAAGCTAACTTATTGCTCATGCCTATGCACAAGAATTTAGTCAACTAAATTCAAGGAGGGGATGGACTTCAAACATGTGTAGTGTCAACTCATAAAGCATTTCCATGTCTGTTATCAAGTTGATATGGGAGCAAAGGGGGGAGAGCATTCCATGCATACCTTTGGCTAGAGTCGGATCTCAGATTATTACAGCAGGCTTGTGAGGCATGGAATTTTACAACCTGCTGCAGCACCTTGTTGGTGAATGTGATTTATGACACAGAGTGAAGGGGGGGAGAAACAGGGGTAAACTTCTGCCATAACTTAAGTGAGGTCAGATCTGACTCCACACAGGTATTGCTGAAATGTTGATCCTAATAAATGACTGGATTTCTTTTGAAACTTGGCTCGAGGCTTGTAAGTTAATTAGGGTGTCTTTCAGAAACCTGACATGGAGATTTGTAAGGATTTTAGGCTGAGTCCTATCCATCACCAGCTGTGCCTCTTCTTTGCCTTCTCCTATAGAAAGGATCGGTTGTTCTTCTTCAAGGATGTTTTTATGTTTAACTTTCCCATCCAGCCTGCAAGCCAGGGATTTTCTGATAGTTTGCCATTCCAATACTAACCAGGTTTGACTCTGGTTAGCTGTTTGAGAGCAGGCAAGGTCAAGCAGAGTAAGCAGACTAAGTCTGTTGAGTACAGAAGGTCCAAGTTTGATTCTAGATGATTTAATGAACAATTCATGTAATTTTCTGTGCAACAGTTGATCACTTTTTGGAATGTTTATTCAACTTTCCTCTCTGAGATTCTTAGGAGTCTTACAGGATATATATTTTAAACACTGATAGTAGTATTGGTGAAGTAAAATAGATGTTGAGCCATTTGAACCTTCCTTTAGACATGCAGTGATTTTAAAGCACTTGTACAGGAAAGATGTTAACAGCTTGACCTGATTTTTCCTAGGTTCCCACATTAATGATGGACACCCAATTTTCAGAGTTCACCCCTGATATCACCCCTATCATGTTGGCTGCTCATACCAACAACTACGAGATCATAAAGCTGCTTGTCCAAAGACGGGTCACCATCCCAAGGCCACATCAGATCCGATGCAACTGCGTAGAATGCGTCTCCAGTTCAGAAGTGGACAGCCTGAGGCATTCCAGATCGAGGCTAAACATCTATAAAGCTTTGGCCAGTCCTTCACTCATCGCCTTATCTAGCGAGGACCCGATCTTGACAGCCTTTCGGCTGGGTTGGGAGCTGAAGGAACTCAGCAAGGTGGAGAACGAGTTCAAGGCTGAATATGAGGAGCTTTCCCAGCAGTGCAAGCGGTTTGCAAAAGACCTACTGGATCAGGCACGCAGCTCCCGAGAACTGGAAATCATCTTGAACCACAGGGATGATCAGAGTGAGGAGTTAGATCCCCAGAAGTGCCATGATTTGGCCAAGCTAAAGGTAGCAATAAAGTATCATCAGAAAGAGGTAAGGCTTCTTATTTCTTCTTCTGTTGTTATGTGTGAGGATCTTTTTTCCCTTTTCTGATTGCTGATTGTTAGAAATTCTGTTTATATGTAGCACCACAGATCAAACAAGTACAGTCATCATGTGCTTTACTACTTAACTGCTTAACCATAACAGGAAACTCTATTTAGAACAAAAGAACATGGATTATATACCACAGGTCCAAACTTGTAAACACTGCCATTTACTAGCTGAACACTACTGTAGTCATTGCATAAAAATGCATTCCAACAAAATGTATTCTAATACTGATCTTCTAATCTCCAGCAGCATCTAAGGAATTGGAATTGTGGTGCTTCTCTATTTCAGATTAAAATGCTTGCTTGAAGTCAGTTTTCTTAGTTTTTTCAGTCTTCTGATAAAGATTGGTCATTCACTAAGTAACGTATTGAATATCCATCAATCCTTTGAGTGAGGCCTATCAGAAAACAAACTTCACAAGGTTGACTAAAGCTCCACTTTACTGAAATAGATTTTCTAGATTCTGCTAGTATATTTTTCCTCTCTCCCTTTTACATCAACAAAAATCAAGGTGAGGTCACCTTAAGTTCCTTTCTAATGCCAGCTTAATTCATGTTTTAGTAACTCCTGTATTCCTTTTCCTGTGGTGTTCTACAGTACTACAAAGGAATCAAACCAATGATTTTATTTAGTGGGTCAATAAATACAACAAAAAGCAAATGTCAGGCACAAGAAATCAGGAATTGGGGTTGTTCAAAGAAGTACAAGTTTATTTCTTGACAAGAATCTGAAATACTAATGATCAACCACTCATCTACCACATTGGTGGTAGATAAGAGACAACAGAATTCAAGGAGGGCTGGGCTTAGAACTCTTGTGGGTGGAAAGGGACTCAAGATGGATAGTGTATGTATTTCACCCCTCCCTCAGGCTCAGACTATGTTGTGGTCTGCAGGCGGCCTGTGGAGCTGGCAGCAGAGTCAGACAGTAAGGAGATTGGGAAGGAACATGGACCAGTACTGGAGTTTGGGGAAGGTTCGGATCAGGGCTCTGCTTCGGAGGCAGAGAGAGGGCCAGGGCATCTGGGAGTTATGTGCTGCCTCTGGAGCCTCCAGAGTCAGACATCAGCGAGGCAGAGGAACAGGGCAAGCCTGTTCCCAGTGCACACATGCATAGAGCTACCAGAAGGCAAGAACAGTTAAGACAAAAGGGGCAACTTGGGAGTAAGGCTTGGAGATGATTGGCCCCTCCCATAAGACATAAAGGAGGAGCAAAGGCACGTGAGCCTTTTGCAGGAAGCAACTTTGTTTGTTCTGGTTGCTTTAAATTCTGCAGCTCTGTTCTGACTCTGTGCTCCGTGTGGCCTTGCAAAGCTAAAATTGCCAGTTAGGTCTTTGGCAGCGTTTCAAGGGAGAGAAAG